CCAGGCTAAGGAAAAAGCAGCTATTTTTTTTTTCCATATATGTGGTTAGTTGCCACAGCTGGATGGGATATAAGTGATCTCCCACTGTTCCCCCTCCTTTTATGTTCTGATTGAAAAGGGCCCAGAGAGGCCAGTCCTGCAGGAGGCCAGCCTCCTAGTTGAGGGGCAGAGCTGGCAGGAGAACCCAGGTTCCATGACTCTTATTCAGCGGCCCGCCACGTGCTCCCTTCCCACAGGGAAGCCTGAGGTCCGGGCAGGCAGGGACAGTGGGGCTCCAGCTGGAACTGGGTGCCGTCACATGGGCAGAGAATGCTGAGTTGAATGCATGCTGAGTGGTGGGGCCACTGGGGACTGTCTGGCTGCACCCTCGGTGTGTGGATCATGGGGCCTCCTCACATTTCCTTTAGACCTAAGATCCATGTAGGTCATGTGCAATGATCATCCATTCCATCACCTGGGCCGTAGTCCCATGGTGCTCTCAGATCACCACCAGCTTTCCACCTTGCTCTTCACCAAATGGCTTTGACACAAGCCTCCTCTCTTTCCTTCTGCTTAAACATTCTGGACAAATCAACCAAGACCCATAAAGTTCCCAGAGGTTGCCATTCCTGTTTTCCTGTGACTTCTTTACTGGGGACTGTTATTAGTGTTTGCGAGGAAAGCCCACCATTACATCCATAGCTTGCTATGTTCCTTAAACAAATTTATTTCTTCTGAAGGCCCACAGATATGGTCCAACATCCATTCCCTAATAAGTATTTTTCATGCTAACTGTTCCTTAATTAGAAGGTACAGACGAGTGGGCAGCCAGCCCAGCAAAGTGTGGCATGTCTTTGTACAGACCTCGCTGGCTTTGGCTGGGCACCTTGCCAAGGAGGATGATACCAGGGTTGTGCCTCAAAGCACCATCTTGGCTTTGTACATGTGAAGTTCTCATAGAGCTGGACAATTTTTATGAGCAAGAAGAAAATCATAAGCAGTGAAATAATAGCTCAGCTCTGGAGATTCCTTAAAGAGCAAAGAAAGATCCCATGGAGCACATTTCAGCTGGTTAATAAGGAAGGGTCTGTATATAACCAGCTCCCAGATTCTATCAATATATAATTACTACATATTTTCCAATCTGCCTCTGGGAAACGTGGCAGGTAAAATAGGTTGAGAAGAAAATAATGGTGCTTGTTGCGCCGTATATTAGATTGATACCTGCTAGTACTTGAGCAGGCTCTGCAGGATGATTGGAGGGCCCCAGCACTCTCAGGGCAGGCAAACCAAAGTAACTCTTTAAGCTCTTTGATCTTTTAAATACCTCCATACACACAGGCCTCTGCAGCATTCAGAGCAAGCAACTTCTTTAAGATTCCCTGTCTTAGGGATTGGAGGTCTTGCTAGACCTGACCAGGGGAAGCCTATGGGTTATGTGGAAAAATGATTTGTGTCCACCTCTCTCCACTGCCCCCCAGTGCCAGGGGCAGCCCTGCAGGCTTTTTCTTCCCTGTTGGGGTTGGTGGGAGCCTTGGGTGGGGCCCTGTGATGCTGGAGTTGCTGTCATGCAGGTTACTGTCCAAATAGTCTCTAGTCTCAGTTTTTCCCTCTTTGTCATTCTTCCTTATTTAAAAACAAAAAATTATTTGAAAAATGAAAATACAAATCAGTCACCTTGAATTCAAGGATTTTTTTTCATATTACCTTTTGGTTTTTGTTCTCATAAACATAGTATACATATATGTTTTTGAAATTATATTTAGTGTACACTTACTTTCTGGAATTATCTTTTTCCCCACATACCATGTTTTCCTCATGTTTTACTCAGTTTTGACATCAGTGATCTTAAGTTAAGGCTACCTAACATTTCATCATGCTGACGTGTCAGAATTTAGGTAAGCACAGATACACATATGAAGTACCCAGCATGATACTTGTGGTTTATTTATTAATTCATTTGTTTATTCATTCATTGACCAAATACTTATCAAACATCTGTTTTGTGCCAGCATTGGAGAAAAGGAAGTAAATTTGACATAGTTGGTGCCTTTAAGGGGTTTCTAAGCTAGTGATATAGAAACTAAGGAAGGCCATTCAAAGTAAAAGATTTTTTTCTACTTAACATTAGTTTGACACCAAATGTGTGGGAGGTTTTCCTAAACCAACCAATTTATAGCTCTCTGGATGCCCACTGGGTTTCTTATAATTCAGTTCTGACACTACAAGGAGTTAGCATAGACCCCACAGATTAGGGGCTCAGTCCCATAAATAAGACTGCCCCCACTTCAGATGCCAATCACAAAAACAGTCCCCTGCCCCCACCACTTCTGACTGACCAGCTGTGAGTTGAGAGTTCCCGTGACCCACTCCTCAGGTTTGATAATTTGCTATAATGGCTCACAGAACTCGGGGTAACACTTTACTTACAATTTCCAGTTTATTACAAAGGATACAACTCAGGAACCACCAGATGGAAGAGATGCATAGGGCAAAGTATATGGAAGGAGCCTGACCATTCTGGGCATGTCACCTTCCAGCACCTTGATGTGTTCACCAACCCAGAAGCCCTCCAAGCTTCTGGTTTAGAGTTTCCACTGGAGGTCCCATTATATAGGCATGATTGATTAAAACACTAATCATTGGCTCAATCCCTAGCCCTTCTCTATTCTTAGAGGTAGGTCAAGGGTGGGGCTGAAAGTTCCAATCCTCTAATCATGAAGTTGGTTGCAGCCTGCATCCTCCAGGAGTCACCTCATTTTCATACACTCAGAGATGATGGAATGGGGCTGATGTGACAGACAGAAGGCACTCCTCTCACACTACCACTCAGGAAATGCCAAGGGTTTCAGGAACTCTGTGCTAGGATCTAGGGACAGAGACCAAATATACTATTCCTTGATATGTTACAACATCACAGCTATCCACGGGGGTACAGTTGAGAACAGCATTATATACTCTCTGTGGCCACAGGTCCATGGTTTAAAAGATGGAGGAATTCTCTCACCTGGAGTCATCAGAAAAGGTCTGCTTGAGCTGGGCCTTGGCAGACAAGTGGGGGTTCAGCATATGTGGGGGTGGGGGAGCAGCATGTGAGGAGTGTGGATGACTGTGTACTTCACTGTCCAAATGGGGGCGCTCTTGATAGTGAAGAGCTACACCTATTAGTAATTACAGGGACACTGGATTTGGTAAATCAAGCCTGTTTCTGGCAAATCAGATGTGTGGTCATTCGCAGTGGAATCCTCTTCTTAGAACCATGGGTGTATTGGAGCTTGGGGTCGGATGGGGCTGTTGGTTGAAGAGCAGCTTCCAGGCTACTACTGCCCTCCTCCCAACAGGTCAGAGGGTAATTCTGATGCTGGAAGTTCATGGGCTACATTTTTTAAAAAATTAAGAGCCTATTTAAATTGATTTTTAAAACCTTTTTACTATGGAAATCTTTGAAAATATATAAAAAAGAGCAGATTAAAGAACCCTCATAAATGTTCATTTAGCTCCAACAATTAGCAACACATTTTCCTAATGTTGTTTTATCTGCTTATCCCTGTATGATTTTGATTTTTAGGCTGGAGTGTTTTAAAGCATTTTTTTAGACATTATTTGGACTTTCTTTTTTTTAAATAACCACAATCCATTATTACACTTAACAAAATGAGTGGTAATCTTTAGCATCCTCTAGTACTATACCATTGTTCAGTTTTCCATAATTGTCTCAAAAATGTCTCTTTAGAGTTGGTTCATTAAGACCTAAGATTCACGCACTGTTTTTGGTTGTTTCATTTCTTAAGACTGAGGTCTTTTTATTAAAAACCTGTGCTGTATATTTATTGAAGAAATGAGTTGTGTGTGCAAAATTTTACAAATCACATCTTGAATAGCACTGATCTAATCAGTCTTATTTAAGTTATTAAATTTCTACCAAGGACTTGTTTAGCCCCTTGGACAGATGCACAACCATCATGGGTGAGAACTTGGCCACAGGGAGAACAAAATTTCTTAGGAGACTTTGTTCACTCATATTGATTCATTCCATTGTTAACTCATTTTTTTCAATAAACACTATTAATATGTGCCATTCACCCTATAGATTCAATGATTTAAAAGAAAGTGCCTGTCTCCAAGGAGCATGAACATGAAGTCTAACTGGGCCGGTGAAAGTGCAGAAAAGAACTCTGGATGCTGGGTCTCATCCACACAACTGGACAGAGGAGGTACATGGGATTAGACATCATTTCCCCCATCTTTACATGTTTATTCCTTTTTGACTTTATCATAACTTATCATGAAACTATTCATGGAAAGTAAAATGGTACAGAACCGAGTAAAACAGAGTTGACAATTTCTCTCTTATCCTTTTAACCTCAACTTCAGAAGTCATCAGCATGGATAGTTTTGGTATATGCCTGCCCACATCATTGGGCAGAACCTTGTAAGCTGAGAGGGCCTTCTTCAGGCGGCCAAGGTGGACGAGGGCCTTAGGGAGAGGTTCTTGCTGAGGACAGTTCTCTTGGTCCTGGGGGCAGTGGGGAGCCCCTGAAGGACTCCGAGCTAGAGAGACGCATGCTTAGACATATGGTCAGACTCCTATGGCCATGCTGTGGTCCAAGGAAAATGAGGAGTGCCTGAGCTAGGCAGTTAGTTGTAGGAATGGAGAGAGGAGACACCTGTGACAAAGGGGGTGAGGAGTGTCCTTTTCTCACTGGGGACCTCATGCTGGCCATCATGCTACTTGAGGCGCTGTGCTCACCTAGGGTGTCCCCTTGGCTTGCTCATGCAGCCCTTGGCTAGGTTGACAGCAGCTGCTTGCAAGCACCACCTCAGCAGTATTGTGTGGCAGAGGCCAGGCCAGCAGGACCCATGACTATTAATCAGTGACAAATAGGAGGGAAGAGGGTGGTAGCATGTGTGTCCAGCTGCCATGAAGGGTGGTAGTGGGGAGGGCCCAGGCAGCTTGTGATATGAGAGCTGACGCAGCTGCATCAGGGATAAACACATAATCTCTGGAGATGGAAATATCTGGTTTCCCAGCTTTACTGCCTATGTGATCTTGCAGTAGTGACTAAACCCTTCTGACTTCCTGCTTCTGCATCTGTGAAGTGGGATGGATGATCTTTGCCTAATTCCACCCTGGGATAATGAAAGGAGAGAATAAATGCAGAGCACCTAGCGCAGTGTCTGGTGCATGGTGAGATGGTTCTTGTACTATGACATTATCACCTCCCCCACGGCTGGGAATTAGGATGCTTTTGAGGCCCCATGACCCCTGGAGGAGCTGCTGAGTTGTTGAAGGCCAGCAGGTGGCCGGGAACAGTTCCTGGCTGATGCTAGCTCCCTCCTGTCCTCCTTTCTTACTGTCCAGGCTGGCTGTTGCTGTTTTTTCACTAAGCGCCCCTGTCATGTGATCTTTGATGTGTGTTTTAATGAGATTTCAGGGCCTGGCTGCGAGGCATCCATTTCATATTTGCCTGTCAATCCATCAGGCCTGACAGCCATGGGAACTCACCATGTGTCCCACTTAGCTCTTGGCTTGTCATGATCCATGCCTTGGTACCCCAAAGGGACACTGTATTTATAACATTGTGTCTGTCTGTCTCCTGCCTTACCTTGAAATGGGGGCTTTAATTTATTTTCTTAACCTTGCCTGGGAAACAGTCAGCTGATTCTCAGCCTCCCTTTCCCATCCTGTTCCATCTCTCTGCAAATGATACCTCTTTGTCTCCAGGGAAGAAGTCTCTCATCTTCATTCGTTCATAACCTGATTGGCAACATTGCCTGTGGAGGTGGCAAGCTATCTGGGAGCAGAATATGCCAGCAGTTCCTGCTCTGTTTTTCCTGATGCAGTTATTTGTGCATGGGATTGAGGAGAGGAGGGACCACTAAATAGCCATCTTTTTTCTTTGGAAGGAGGGGTGTCTGCCTTGTTAATATTAAATCACTTGCTGCAGCTCCTTGAATGACATTTTCTGGTATTCAGCAACTCTTTCTGGTTCCTGAATTCTGGGATATTAAATCAAGGTTCTTGTTGGATTTGCCCATTTATATGTAAGGATTTGCTGGGACAATGTAGCTAAAGGGAAGGTGGGAGGGGATAGACAGTGCATTCTCTAGTGGCCTCTTTTTTGTAATTGTTTTGAAGGTCATGTGCTGGCTTGATGGTTAAGACTATGTTGAAAACATTTTTGGAAGTAGTGTGAAAAAAGTAATTGAAACATTAGTGGGCAGATGGTCATATGAGAGAAAAAGGTAGCCCACAGAGCACACCATTTTTATGTGCTAGTTCACCCCGCCAACCAAGGGAGCAGGCATGACCTGCTCCTGGCTCATGCTCTCTTCCTGTGCCTTTGCAGGTACCTGTGGTTCACAGTGGTCTTTTATCCATGTGTTTGTCTAAGTGTTGAGACACTGTAAGCTTTTTTTTTCCTTTACTTTCGCAGCAACTTGACTTACACCTGACATTTTGTGTCATCCCCATGTGCTGGAGAGAAAAAATTCAATGGAGGAGAAGAAGGACACAGGAGCAGGGAGAGGTGGGAGATCTAACTTTGATTACTCACAGTATAGGGTGGTGGTCTGTGCGCAAGGGCTGCTAAATATTGGGATAATTTGTTATCCAGCAATAGACAGCAGTCACAATGTTTGTTGAGTAAAAGGCAGATTTTCCGTCTTAGTCACACACTGTGCTCAGAGATAGCACTCCTAAACCCTGCCCTAGCCAAAGTCAGTAATCTATATTCCCTCCTCCTTCAAGGTGGGCTCCCCTTGGCAGTGGAATCAGTGATAGTTGTTCTTAGTCAGTCAGGGTAGGATAGGTTATGCTGTGGTAACAAACATCTCCTAATTTTCAGTGGTATAAAATAACAAAGGTTGATTTCAGTTCTTGCTCATGATGCATGCCCTTTATGGGTCACAGAGGTGGCTCTGCCTTTAGTGTAAATACTCAGAGCTCCAAGCTGACTGAGCAGCCAACATCTAGAAGTTGCTGGTCATCAGTCAGAGGGAAATGCACTGGTAATTAAATGTTTCATCTTAGATGTGAAGGGGATCAAAATATGCCACCCCACAATAGGCTACTTTAGCATAAGATTATTTTGAACTGAAGACAATTGAAAAGCAGCAAATAGAGAAGGAACGCTCTGTCCTCCCCCTTTCTGCCTGAAAGTGGAACATACATTTCCCTTTGTGAAGGCATTCCCCCCTTCCTTCTCCTATATCAGAAAAAATGGCTTTTAATCACTAGATGATTCATCACTGGAGATAGAACTGATGAGTCTGCATAACAACCTTACTAAAAAAACCTTATCTTCCATTAGCTTCCTGCATACATTTCTCTTCCCAAAACTTACTACCCCTAGAAGCCCAAACCCCTTTTCCTTTGTCTTGCCATTTCTCCACAATGTACCATCCTTTGTTGAAATGGTATATAGCTCTTAAGCCTAATTACTTGAGTTTTCACTTCCTTACTGTGAAGCTCCCAAGCATGTACAAAATAAAGCTTTTCTCTGTTAGTCTGTCTTTTGTCACTTAAACTTGTAGGCCAAAGTTACTGAACAGGAGAGGATAGAGGAAAAGTATTTTTTGTCTTCTACAGAAGTGACACATATGTCATTGACTGGAGCTGGTCACATAGCATACCCTATTCAGAAGTTTTACTAAGTGTTATTATATGTCAAACACTGAAAACTGCTTGATATAAATTGTCTGCTGTATTTTGCCAACAACCTTATGAGGTAGATACTATTATTACTATATCTCCCATTTTACAAAGAGGGAAACTGTAATACACAGAGATTAAGTAACTTGCTGAAGGTGAAACAGTAAGTGGTAGAAACTGGATTCAAACCCCATGCTCTACCTTTGGAACCGTCACCACAATTTACTGCCTCTCTAATCTGGAGTCATGAAAACTACCAAGATGGCCTAAAAACAATGAACCTCATCTTTACACCTTCTGTCCCAGGAAAAACCTTGGTTTCTATGCAGATTTACAGCATTTCTATCCAGAAGCCTTCTAGCTTCACATATAAAGGAGATTGTACTGAGTTCTGGCATGGCTATTATCAAATCCAAAGAATATTTTCTATTGTTAAAATGAAGCAACAATAGCATATAACATTTATTAGGGGTTTATTATGTGCTAGTCTTACTGTTAAGTCTATTACATTTTTTCAGTCCTCATGATACTGCTATGAGGTATAGGTAGTGTTATCCTTATTTTACAGATGCGGAAATGGAGGCACAGAGAAGTAAACAAAATTGACTAAGGTCACATGACTGGTAGGTATAGGAGCCAGCAAATCTTTGGAAAGGTACGGGATTGGAGAGTGGTTGGATTTTATGTTCTTATCCAGCCCTGTAACATGGCATCAGTAATTTTTAGGATGGGTATCAACTGTTTCATTAGATGTTATATATTAATCTTTTAATTTAGAGCTTGAGGCAGCAATAAACTGGAAAAGGGGAAATTTGGAGATGTGGAGGGAAATGGCTGCTGAAAACTCAGAGGATCTTAATAAAGGACATCTAGTTTAGTGTTTAGAATGGAGTGTTTTGCGTATCAGTTGTCAATGCATGTTTTTAAGAATTTGAAAACACTTGGCTCTCTAAGTGTCCTAAATGGTCCCTTTCCTATCTTACTTACCTTACTTTGCACTCCTCTTTCAGAAAGGGTGTACTGGGCACTGCCAAGTCACAGCTGCCTCACTGCCCCATTACCCTAAATTCTGATTTGGTGTCTTTCGAATCAATGAGGTTGTTTATTTATTAAAACATTTCAAAATCAAAGAAAACTTCCAAGTATATTGCAAAAATTGTTTCTTTTCCAGATCCAGTGAGAGTAAGTCTCCTTGCCCCTGAATACTTTAGTTTTTTTTTTCTATAAATGAGGATATTCTCCTATATCAGTGACTCTCAAGTTGAGGTCTCTGAAGTATTAGCCATCAGCATCTCCTAATAACTTACCGGAGATGCAATTTCTTGAGCCCCACTCCAAAATCAGAAACTCTGGAGTAGAGTCCAGATATCTGTATCTTAGCAAGTCTTTCAGAGGATTCTGAAGAACCCTCAAGATTGCATGTCTTGTATTTTGCGGAGTATCCTATATTAACCTACCAAAATCATGCAAATCTGGAAATTAATACTGATATATCACTACTATCTCCTCACAATCCATTTATATTTTGCCATTTTTCCCCAATTTTCATGTCCTTTATGGCAAAAGGATGTCACCCAGCCAGATTCTTTTCATTTGTTGGTCATGTTTATTAAAAATGTTCTTCAGTTTGGAGCAGTTCCTTCATTTTTCTTGGATTTCCATAACCTGGACACCTTTGGAGATGACAGGCCAGTTATTCTGTAGAGTGTTTCTCAATTTTCTTTTGTCTGATGTTTTGTCTTGATTACATTCAGATTATGGATCCTTGTCAGAAATATCACAGATGCAATGCTGAATTTTTCTCATTGCAACTCATCAGATGGTGCAAAATTTCAGTTTGTTCTGTGTCTGTTGATTTTACTTTAGTTACTTGATTAAAGTGATATCTATCAGACTTCCCCACTGTACAGTTCTTCTTTCTCTATGTAATTAATAAGTATTTTATGGAGAGAAACTTTGAGATTATATCAATTTACTATTCCTTATCAAACTTTCCATTTATGTATTTATTTATTTGTTCATCCAGCCATTCATCCATTTGTTGGTATGGATGTGGACTCATGGATTGCTCTTTTATTAATGGGTTGTAATCAATTACATTCATTATTATGCTCAAATCATCTCAATTGTGCCAAAAGAAGCCCTTCCAAGGTTCCTCTGTGTCCCTTGCCATGTCCCCATCATTTGCTGAGTCCTCCCATGCTTTTTGGTACACAAGGCTCATCTTACATTTTCTCTGCCCCAGCCCTGGAATCAGCCATTTCTCTAAGGAACCCTAGAGTCTTTCTTCTTCTAATTCTACTTCTATGCCTCCACTTTCCTCTTCCTCTTCTTCCACCACTACTACTTTTCCTCCTCCTCCTCCTCCTTCCCTTCCCTCCCTTCTCCTTTTAGTGGCGAATGGTATTTAGGAATCAAGATCTGGCTACTAGATGTGCTCATTGCTCCTGGGATGTCACTGCTTCCCTGAGCTCTCCTTGGACAGAGCTAGGGATTGTGTGTGTATGTGTGTGTGTGTATGTGTGTGTGTGTGTGTGTGTGCATACACATACACATTTATATCTATATTTATTTCAACATCTAGCTATAATATTAAAATCCATGAGTTCAAAGTCATAATCTCCAATTTTGGTCCAACACTAGAGTTTATTCTAGATTTCTCCCTCTCAGTAATTGTAGCTCCTTGCTCTGATGCTGAGAAATCTGATTCCCACTATCTTTACTACTTTATGTATTAGGTCCACTTCCTTGTCTGCATATCCAGTTCTCCTCATTGCTGCCACTCCACTTCCTGTGTGGACACCCTCCCCATCCTGCTTGGGCTCTGACACCCATGCCTACACAGATGCTCCTCACCTAATTTGGGCTTTGAGACTGCTGTGTGGGCCACTTTCCTACACAGATGATCTTACCCTGCTCAGATTCTGATGCCTTGTCCTAGGCTGCCCATTACATGTACCCAAGGATCACCTCTTCATTTAGCAATAGCTCTGATATCCTGCATCATTGTCTTCTTTTTCCTACTCAAGCTCCAAAATCACATGCTGGGCTGGACCACTAACCCTTCTCCATCTCTTAAGAATCTCTTGCCTTACTGCAGCTGGGTTCCAACAAACCATCTTGGGCTTCTCTCCTCCATCTTCTCTCTCCTCCCTTCCTCTCATGAGAATGCTCTTACCCTGGTACGGCTACAACACCCCACTCTGGACCACTGCAAGTTCTCCCACCACCCAGGACTTTTGGAATGAATTGTTTAGGAAGGAATGGGAAGGAGAAGAAGAGGAAGAGGAAAATATACTGAGGTTTTCATGTACCTTTAAAATCAGTTTATTTATCCATTGTGTCAGTAGATTTACTTTCAGCCTTTGTTAGACAGAGTACAAAGTCATTTCTGTTTTATCATAAACCTTTTGAACTATGTACCATTCTAAAGTAATATCTTTATTATATACATTAAGTTCCTAGAGTCATTCCAAATATTTTGGGCTCAGAGATTTGGCAAACATGGTAGGATGGAAGCATTTTTCTTGGTTCTCTGGAATCCTTGGTTTTGATATCTGTGCAGTATGGTTACTCTTGTTATTTTTGTTGTTCATAGTTGGTTTGTATCTGTGTGTTTCTCACCCTCACTAGACTTACTAATGTCTGACTTATGTCCTGAGGGCTTTTCCCTTCCACAGCACTCTGATCTGTGGGCTTGGGTCACCACTTCAGAGGCCATAACCAAGAGCTTAAAATGCGAAGAATGAAGCTGCTTGTAAAAGTGTCAGATGCAAGACTTGTAAACCATTTTGCCAAATGATCTTTCCTATTTCTATAAACTACATATGATGGAAGTGGGGAAGGAGGCAGATGGCTTGCAAGGACCGGGGAAAGAAGAAATTGGCAAAGGAGATTCTCCAAGTTTCAAAATTATGCTTTAGTTTGTTTCATATTGGGAGTAAAACTTTCCAGAAACACATATTTGCTTTACCTAAGTTTATAATTGCCTTCCTTTTTTATTTTTTATTTTTCTCATTGACTGGAGGAACGTATGCCTTCTTCATCATATACCTAAGCGAATTCAGCTTTTTAAAGCAAACCACTTGTTGAATTACCTAATGTCCCTAGGCCTGCATTCCACATATGTCAGCCTGGGATTTCTTTTATTGTATTTTAAGTTGATTATTCTGTTTTTAGTACCTTATATCTTACTTTTTCTTTAATTCTTTTTCCATACTTTGTTTTAGTAGAGTATACTCTCAATAAATTTTTCCCAAAGTATTTATGGAAGTCAAACTTTCTAAATCAAAGCATGTCTGAAAGATGTCTTTTATTTTGCCCTTGAACTTGATTGATGGTTTGACTCAGTATAGAATGCTATGTTCAAAATCATTTTTTCTTCTGAACTTTGAAGGTATTGTTTCATTGTTTTCTTGTATCTACAATAATTATAAGATATTGTCAGTTAAAAAAAGTCCATCCATTGCAGGTAAACTGTTTCCCCTCATTCTGGATCTCGCATTTAGGTTTAGTGTTCTTAAATGTGATGAGAGTTGTGGGGGCTTGAGTGTTTTTATCAGTTTTTGGAAATTTTCCTTGATTATTTCTGTGGTTAATTCATTCCTTGCATATTTTTGGTTCCCTTTCTGCAACTTCTATTGAATATATATTTGACTCTCTTGGATCAATTCTATCTTCTCTCTCTTTCCTTTTCTCCTACGACCCTTCCCTAGGTTATTGAGATATTATTGATGAATAAAAATTGTTTATGTTTAAGGTCTACAACATGATAGTTTATGTATACAGTGTGAAATCATTACCACAGTCAAGCTAATTAACACATCTATCACCTCACATAGTTACTCTTTATTTTACATTTTTTTTTGGTGTAGTGAGAACACTCAAGGTCTCCCTTAGCAAATTTCAAGTATACAGTACACTGTTATTAACTATATTCACCACACCTTGTATCAGGTCCCTGGAACTTATTCATCTTATCACTGAATGTTTGACTAACTTCTTCTATTCCTTTCTCCCTCTTCCTCAACCCCAGATAGCCACGGTTTTACTTTCTGGTTCTGTGAGTTTGACTTGTTTGGATTCCACATATAAGCGGGATCATATACTGTTTGCCTTTCTCTGTCTGACTAGTTTCATTTAGCGTAATGTCCTCCAGGGTCATCCCCTGTTGTCATAGATGACAGAATTATTTCCTTTTTTATGGCCAAATAAAATTCCACTGCATGTGCCTGTGTGTATGTATAAATACATGTATATATGTATATAAATATATGTATACACACACACACACACACACACACACACACACTACATTTTCTTTATCTATCAACAGATGCTTAGGTTGTTTCCAGTCTGGCTATTGTGAATAATTCTGCAATGAACACAGGCATGCAGATATCTTTTAAGATCCAGTTTCATTTCTTTTGGATATACACCAAGTAGTGGGATTGCTGGATCATATGGGAGTTCTATTTTTAATTGTTTGAGGAAATTCCATACTGTTTTCCTTGACACCTGTGCCAATTTACATTCCGACCAACAGTAAAGAAGGACTTCCTTTTCTTCACACTCTGACCAACACTTGTTATCTCCAGCCTTTTTGTTGTTAGTTTTTTTGCTA